TAAAACCACATCCTACTCTGTCTGCTCTCTACCTTCACACAAGTTCATCAAGGCTGTTCATCTATGTTCCATACCACAGAAACAAAATGCCATAAAATTATCTCTTAAATACATTAGTACTGGGATTTTGCTTTTCTCATTGCACAAAAATCAACAGCTTATAAAACTCTGTGATGAATGTTAACTACGTAACAATATCGTAAAGTTCAAAAGATGCTTGAATAGTAGCCTGGCCTTTCAGTATTTACACGTATAAACCTAGCACTGTAAAGATTCCCATAGAGGACTGAGGGCTCTACACACTGTCACTTCAAAGTGGATAAAATAATTCCTTCATGTTGCCCTAAAAGTAACAATCCACCCATCAGGCTCCCAGGAAGACAGTCTTTTCAGTATTATTTATTTTGCTTGGACGTTCAAAAATGAAGCTCATTCAATGGAGAAGGTAACAGACAAGGCAAATCTACCTGCTTAGTGTTCCTGAAGACACCAGAATCATCTTGGTTTCCTATCAGCGCCACTGTCAATCACACAAGCACCACCTATAGATTTCTCTTTATACTCCCACAGCGAAGGTGTGGCAGGATTGTCGTGGCTCATGGAACCAAATGGGGAAAATTACTGAGAGGACTGCCTTCCTTATCAACAGATTATTTCATTTCCTGACAGAAAGCTTTTTTTATTTAAAAAAAAAAAAAACAACAAAACCCAAAACACCAAAACAATAAAAACACTTGTTTTAAAGTCAACATGACCTTCTGTTTTTCCCTGTGTAATACAACCTACATACTGTTCTGTAAATTTATGTTCTTGCAGAACTGTTGCAAAGTGGTATTAGTTTTTCCTCAGCAGAATGGAAGATATCTTCTAACTAGGAAAACTAAAATAAGACACAGCCAGAGGAGTACCTCAGTGTCAAAGATTTTGAAACAACAACAAAAAAAAATAGAAAAGGCATAGCAGCGTCCTATGAAAATATGAATACTTTTGAATACCACACTGTTCCAGGAAAATAAGAATTATTACTCACTACATGACTATTATATAGAATCCTACCAGTGCTAAAACTAGTAATACAACTCCTAAATTCTGACAGTTTGAATTCTTATCTAGGCAATTAACACATCGTTAGCAGAGCTAGAAAGATTTCAAAAACCTTTCTTCATATACTACTTTTCACATTTCTGAGCAAAATCAGTAAGTGCAAAATGCCTTCACATAAATCCATTAGGGAAAAAAGCATGAACTTGATTATGAAAATACTTATCCATAACACCGACTATTAACCAAAGCTTTATAATTAACTGCTGCTATGAAATACAGGATGCCTTACTGCTGATCTTGGGTTAACTGAGTGCCAGTAACGCCTAGCCTAAAAGGATTCTTTAAAGGCTTCCTGTTTATTTAACCTGCCTGAAGTGCATGGGGGTTTTTGCTATGCAAATTGACATTTCTGGAAAATATTGATGGAAGATTGCATATGCTGATTCTGCATTACTGAGTGCTGTAAAAAAAAAATCAATGCATATAATGAGTTCACATTTCTAGTTCTGTTTAAAATATCTGTATGGTTACACAGACTCACAGCTTGAAATTAGTAAGACGTAGCATTAAACATAAAGCTTATTAGTAATGTGATTTTGTTAAATTTCGAAATGGTAGTTCAGAAGGGATGCTTTGTAAATTCTCTCCATGCCCTGTTTGCCTTTGCTTCCTGTCAGAACTTTCCAGGGGACCACTAAGGAAAGCAACGCGTTCCGGGAACCAAAACAAAACGCGAACAGAACGACCGCGGCCCCTTCAAAAACCTCCC